CAAAGAGTCTGTTCATTGGTTGATATCTTGATGATATCAACCCACCAATCGCCGCAAGACGCGCGCAATGAGTGGTGACGAGACGTCACCATACACTCAGTTAGATTAGTATCATTAAGTTAAGTCAAACAGAGAGACAGTAGTTAAAGACTTAATTATATTAATATAACGGTTCTGCTTTTACCCTACCAACGCTTCCTCGCTTGCCTTGTGTACGTCTGTCGGGGCACCGATACCCTTGCGCTAAGTTCACGCAAGGGTGTGCCCCGTTACAAGCAGTACCAGCGCGTGACGGGAGATCTTGCGATGCAGCTTCAAAAATATCTCTCCAGGTAAGTTTGTGAGTATCTCGACTCTCTCATTTGCCATCGTTATACTAATGATCTTGTAATTATAATCGATACCTCGGGAAATTCGTCTGTAAACATCGAGAAGTGTGCCGCTACAGCCGTCTTTTGACTGTCAAAAGGCCCGACCGGTGGAGATTTTTCACAGGTCCATGGGAGATCAGCAGCGGCAGGATTAGGGCCAGCATCAACTTGGCATGTCATCTGATTGCCAGCGATGTCTAATTTGGCATCAGCATCAGCGACCGTAGCAGTGGCAGCATCGGTAGTGGAGGTGGATGAAGAGCTCATCACCATGCATTAGACTACGAAGGATTTTTTTGGATAGACGTGACTGTACTACACGTGCATTTCTACATAGTTTATCCTGTAATATTTGACTTGACGTTGATAGAATGTGACACCGCTGCTACCATATAAACATTAGGTATAATGGATAGGCGCGCGGTGTATTTAGCCATAATGCTAGGTGTATTTAGCCTCTCCCTCTATTCTTCAGCCTCGAGCGGAGAACTTCTTTTGGAAGTCATGTGATACGTACGAGCAGTGCGGCTAAAGACCTGCTTATGGTTCGTACCGAGTTAAGGACAGCCATTGCCACTGCCAGGAAAAGTCAGAGGGACAGATGCGACGCGTACGTTGTGCAATTGAGGATCGGGTCATGCGATAGGAGCCGAACCGTCAGAGTGGGTACCGCGGGACCACTGGACGCTTGAGGTCCGTCTCGATGGCTGACGCCCAATGTCGTTCCGCTGGCCGAAGCAAAGTCACGTCCGTAGCTCCTCACTGCACCTCTTGCAGCAGATCCCACAGCAGCCAAAGTGCGACTTCTCTCGCACGTAACAGTAGGCGCACGCGCACCAGTCTCACACTGCCGCACCTGCCACACGCACAGTCTGTCGCGTTCACTCTCTCCGCTTTCGTGGGCAAATCGAAAGGCAGCTCGACCTCGTGCCTTAATTGAGGCTGTCCGCCCCATCGCGTCCCATTCTGCGTAGCCCCTCATCCCATCCAAAGCTCTTCTTCGTGCCCATCCTCCCAATCTCCCACCCCCAATCTCTGCTATGACGACGTCCGACAGCGCCGACAACGAGCGCGTGCGTCGCCTCTTCGCCGACGTCGTGGCCAGCTCCAAGTCCCTCGTGCGCGGCTTCCTTACCGTCGACGCCGCCTCCGACTCGGCGGCCGTCAATTTGGTCTGGGGGCAGAAAGACCTCGTGCACCGCGTGGCGCACAAGTACCAAGCACAGTACCACGTGGCGGACCTCACACAGTCGCAGCCACAGGTTCTCGTCGCGGGGTTTCCTACCGATTGGACCAGCGACTGCACGAGTGTCTCACCCTCAGCGAAGCGCGTGGTGACGCTCGATCTCAAGGACGTCACGTCCGATAGGACGACGTCCGAAGGCGTTTTTCGCGGTAAGCTCTTGAACATTAGTGGACAGTATGTGCTCTGGTTGGTCTATCTCACTTTGTGTGTTGTATTGTTCCTGAGGAACAGTGTACGCTGAGAACCACTTGGTGTCGACCTTCCGAGCTCCCAAGACGCTGCACGGGGCTATCTATCTGGAGGAACGGGGCGGCGGCATTGTCTGGTCCCACGATGAAGCGACCATTGCGTACGTGGCCGAGAAGAAACGGGTCGAGTGTCCTGCGTTCTGGAGGGACGTGAACGCGCCAGACGGAAAGATTGAGGACGACGAGGACGAGCAGGTGGACTTGGTCAGAAGAGGGGCCAAGTTCGAGTACGAAGACGACTGGGGAGAGCAGTACGAAGGGAAGCGAACCGCGTCGATTTTCCTCGTGACGCTGGCAACTGGGAAGATCGAAGAGGTCATGGGCGTGCCGGCGAACGTGACGTGCGCCGACGTGGCTTTTGTGCCTGGGGATCACGAGCTCGTGTTTGCAGGGACCAGGACAGACTGCCCGAAGCGACTTGGCCTGATCTACTGCTGCAACCGACCGACTGCTCTGTACCACGTGGTGTTAGACCGCGAAGATCGAGCCAAGACGGTGGTGAAGAAGCTGGAGCTGATGCCGCAGGATGAAGACAGCAAGACCATTGCGACCATGCGGAACCCGCGCTTCTCACCTGATGGCGACCAACTCGCCTTCCTCGCTACTCGGGACGTTGCGACTCATGGAACGTGCAGCTTCCTATGCGTGACGCAGTGGGTTACTAAGCACACGTCGACGTTGATTCCCGTCAAAGATGAGCCTGATACGCCTGGCACCGATGTTACAAAGGCGTTCAATGGACTGTTCGATGGCAAACTGAGTGCAAAAGCGTGGTCGCCTGATGGCAAATACATTCACGTGGTGACACGAGTGGGCTCTCGTCTAGTGTGGAAGTACGTCGACGTGAGCACGAAGAACCTGATTTCTCCACAGTACGTCGATGGCGCTGAAGCCGCTATTGAATCCGTGCTGGATCGCAACGGAGACCACTTCTTGGTGATGGTGACGTCCCCCACGCGCCCCGCTAGCATTTTCCTTGTAGAAATTGACCCGGCAACAGGTATGCACAGACGTCCACCTCTTGCCATTGACGATCAGCAAGGAAGTGCAAAGTACATTGGGCGCTGGGAAGTGTACTCTATTCCAGCGTCCGTGTCGGATGAACCAGCCGCAGCGAAAAAACTCCCTGCGGTACCTAAAGTGCTGGAAGATCTGCTGATTCCACCGGTGTCCAGCTCAAGTGACTATGAAGCAACCGTGATGCTACCAAGCAGCCCCCCGCCATCAGATGGCTATCCTGTCATCCTCGAGCTGCATGGTGGACCGCACAGCAATGCAAGCGTCATGTACCGAGACATGTGCGAATTCTGGGCTGCTCTGGGTTTTGCAACCGTTACTGTGAATTATCGAGGCAGCACTGGATATGGGATGAAGGCACTGGAATCTCTCATTGGAAAGGTTGGTACGCAAGATGTGTACGACTGCCACTACGGCCTGAAGTATCTGCTGGATGAGAGCTCGAGACTCGGTCTGTCGTTGGACAAGTCTCGCGTGCACTGCTCAGGTGGCAGCCACGGCGGGTTTCTCGTCGCACACCTCATTGCCCAGTTTCCGGGCTTTTACAAGTCCATGGTCACTCGCAATCCCGTTACAAACATGTCAAGCACGTTTTACACTTCCGACATCCAAGACTGGAATCTCGCGTGTGCAGGCATCCAGCGATTCGAAGGCATTTATACGTCGCAGAAACTGTACAACTCGAGGGATGAGCTCCCAGTTCTGACCTCGGAAGCGCGTGTGGCCATCCTCAGCAAGTTGTGGCAGCACTCACCTGTGAGTCATGATCTAAGTAAGGTTACGACACCTGCGCTTTTCGGACTCGGTGGAAAGGATCGACGCGTGCCTCCCAGCCAAGGTTTGGAGTATCGTGCGACGATTGCGAGTCACGGTGTTCCTACGCGACTTTTGTGGTACCCCGACGACTGTCACCCGCTGGAATCCGTGGAGGCTTTTGGTGACTTTTCGGTAAACTGGGGGCTTTGGCTGCTGAAGTATAACCCGAAGTAAGCTGTCACGGAGCGACGTGGGTGGGCCCACTCGTTGCATGTAGTGCTGCGTGTGCAGAACCAGACGCGTAATTAGTCTCAGCGACCTGCAAATTGAGCAAGAGAGGGGTGACACATTGTGGCCACTTGGTCCATACTGTAGTCGTGAACTTGATATTGTGCTACTTCGGGGCACGTTGCGATGACTGCAGTGAGTTCGTTGACTTGATGCAGGTCAGCGAACGACAACAACAAAAGCAACTGACCTGCAGCGAAGTTGCGTAGCTAGAAGTCGAGCAGTTAGTTTGCTCTGCAGTGGGCGTCAGGAGTGCGGTGTCGCGACAATTGTGTGCTGCATACAACCACAAGAGTCGCCCAGCAAATGGTCTGTGGTAAACTTTGGCATCGTCCTGCAGCATTGGGCAACGGCAAACAACTGGTGGTGGATCTTGTAATGTGTTTCAACTCCAAAGGGCGTCGCAGTAGACCTGTCGGAGTTTCATGGCTGGTAGTGTTGTAGACGTCGGCATTCTGAAGTGGCGACAAGCCGTGGCCAAGAGGTCAACAACGGATGTCCATTGTGCCTTTATGGAGCTGACTTTGCTCTATGGACCGCCGTCATCGAGCCTAGAAACAATAGCGAGTTCGATGGGCGTATCGACTCGAGCTACAAAATGACCACACGTGGCTACGATGTGCGTAATACGTCTAGTTTCCCGCCAGCCATCGCTGTTGCTGACGGTGGTCTCGCTCTCGGCTAGTGCCACGTCGATTTCCAGCATACCGAGTTGCATCCCATAGCACAAAGCGGTTGCCGTGTGCGGGCTATATCTCGATTGTAATCGGAAAACACGACAGGTCCTTGAGGTCGACCAGCACAATCGTAGACGTCTCGCAGAACGAAGGCACAGTAACAAGTCGCACTTCTTGGCCGTTTTCTCCTACAGAACACCACCAAAGCACCGTACACGAAAGAAACGTCAGCGTTAGGCCACGTTCGCTCCCATTCCGTCCATCATCCAGCTAGCGGGTCGTACGAACCTTTGACAAATCGCGTACTAAAGCGCGGCTGATTGCCGGAAAAGTACACGTGCGGACAGCTCTCGAGGATAAATGGGTCCTCGTTTGCCATGGGAAAGCACGCGAGCACGTCTGGCGCAGTGGGCGCAACGTGTCTCCACTCGAGACACCGCTGCAAGTAATCCAACGCGCGCTCCTGCTCTCGCTCTTCTGTGTCCGCTGCCTCGACATCGTCGCCATCTGGCAATGTGCATTGCAACAGACTGCGCAGTGGCTGCCCCGCGTCTCCGAGAAACTGCACGCCCCCAATCTGCGCCTCGTACGGGTTCGTCACGCATCGAAACGACTGGAAACAGGCGCTCCGTGGGAACAGACACGGGTGGAAACTCTGCTGCGGCAGCGTGTAGTTGCTCGGGTCCGCCGGCCCGGGCATCAAATCCACGCACATGGCAGCTGCGAGCGTCGACACGAGCGCGTCGGCGTCGCGCAGCGGCGCTCCTTCCAGAGCCAACTGCTCCGTCGTCTTTCGTGCAACGGTCGGCACGTGAACGCCGTCGGCGTCGCCGTCTTCGTCCACTGCTCCCAGCACGTTCCCCACCACAATCGTCCGCACGACGTGCGCCACGAACGCCTTTTCCGCCGCGTCGCCCACTCGTCCGGCCAAATAGTCCATCACGACGTGCGCTTGCAGCGGGTGGCGGCCGTGAACGCGCCGTCCACTGCTTAGACCCGAGACGAGCGCCACGTACGCCCTCTCCGGTCGCGTCGGCAGCGGCGCTTGCGGCGGCAGCGACGGCACATACACTTCGTCGACGTGGAACTGTCCGCCGGTGCCGTCTCGTGGCACGCGGCCGCGCACGGCGACGACGACACCAGTGACGAGCGTCGCGACGTCGACGCGGCCCACGAGCTGCACGCGGCCGCTCTCGTCCTCCAGTAAGAGCTCATCTTCGCGCGTCGCGAGCGCGTGCGGGAGGCGCTCGAGCGGCGTGACGCCCGTCTCGCGCACCAGTGCGTCAAAGAGGTTCGGTTTGCCGGTCAGGACTTTGAGCAGCGTACCGATTACGACGCACTCGCGGCCGTCGGCCTGGAGGTCGATCACTTTGGGCCGCACGGGGACGCGGCCGCTCGTCTCGTGGCCGACGCGCGCGGTCAGCACGTCGCGCAGCTGCTGCAGGCGACTCACGTAGATGTGCGAGAACTGCTGCGCGTACGACTTGTGCCGGAGCACGAAGCGCTGGTACGTCGGCGCGTATTCGACCGAGTGGCGGGCCATGTGGTGGCGGCCGTGGGTCGATCACGCACTGTGTGGGTGATTGGGACTTTAGTGGGACTTGGGTCATTGACGGAGTGGGGGGGGAGTATACGTTTTCGGAGGGTATACGTCTCGTGGGTGGTGGGTGGTGTGGTGTACACACGCATCGGACAAAGCACCCGCAACGTTACACCTCGAAAGAGGTTTCGCACGTGACGCGCACGTGAACGATCGCACGTGACGCGCAATCTATTCGATGTGATAGGCTCACCGTTGGGTCGAAGGCAACAGCGACAGTAGAATGTCAACTTGGCCAGTGCGGATTGATGTCGTGCCTCTTGCAGCGAGCTGTGCCTCAAAGACAGACGCATGTAACCGGTGTAGCCGCGAGCACGCCACGGGTTACACGGGTTGAACGACTTGGTCCACACTGCACTTCTATCTGTTACTTGTTCTGCCAGCCCTCTTGTTGAGTTGCGTTTGCGGCTCACAGCTGACCGTGAAGGGCAAGTTGCATTGAATGCATGAACACTGCTACAGTGGAGTTACACTTGTTTTGCAAAGACTCAGCCTATATACCTGCAAGTCGCACCGCGCATCCTTTTCCAACAATTTACATAAGAAGGATGCATAATGTATGATTGCGCTCTCTGGCACCTGGCGCGAGGTCAAATGGAATGAAAGCTATCCATGCAAGCGAAAATGTGTCTGACCGCGTATATCGTCGGCTCGTTTGTTTGTAGCGGCTCTTGCTGCATTAATTGTCATCAGTCCACTCATATTGCCTTCGCGTACATCCTTTCACCAACTACCTATGACAAAACGTGTTCAACTTCGATGTTGCTTGATCAGTACACTATTCGCATTGGTGCCAATGATTGAGGTTACACATATATGTCATGCAGCCTGGAATGGTAAACGTTATAGGCGTGATCGATGGCTCACGGAACATTGTTGCAGACAAAGCATTCGACGATACATATCCACGCTTTCACGAGTACTCTATCGCTTTCATCCATGGAATCGAAGCATCTAGGTACGTACGCTTGGTTAGCGACGGTAGCTATCGTCAACCTCGAGTGTCACACAGATTGGCATACTACTTGTTCGTGTTGCCTTCACACCGGCCTACATCAAAATCAGTGTTTGCATATACTCCTTCACGAACGTAAGGTCCTCCTGGTCCCCATGGGAGTCCAGGTATCATCGAGCACCGATCGACTGGTCGAGTCCTCCATACAGCCATTAAAAACGATCCGATCAGCATCTCAAAAGAGGCCAAAGGGAGAACAGTCGAGTTTGTGCTTCCAGTCTGAGTCCGTATCATTGCTTCTGCTTTTCGATCGTCATTACGGAAGTACACTGGCACTTCTTTGGCCCACCGTGGCTTGTCACCACACTGTCTTGCTTACGTTACTGATCGACTCATGAAGAAGGGAGACGTGCTTACATCTGTGAGCGCACTTTTCTTCTCGCCCAATGCCATTCACGACGTGCTATGGACGTGTATAGACTATACCGCCACTTCTCATCCATACACGACTAGACATCCCTGGTTCCTGCCAACAAAGTAAGCTTTCGTTGATCGGTACTTTGTTGGCGGCTGGTAGCCTCAGGGCAGCACAACAAAGTTATTGGATAAACAACTCTCATTGCAGCACACCACTTGTTCCGTTCACACGTGAATGGTCCTCCTTGTTTCACTCTTGTCGCAAGAAGAGCGCATCATGTGTGCTAGATGAACATGCCACAGCATGACGCACTGCGTCGTTCCCGGCTGACTGCCGCTCACGCAAAACCAGTTTAGTCAGAAAGCTCCGCGAATGATTGGGACATGTACTTTTCATGATCCTCGCGCCTCGTTCGAGTGTAGAGATCTGATCGACGCTACACTACTACTTTGTCGCAAAGGATCGCCAGTCTAAGGCTTGCATTTTGTATGAGTAACGTGCTCATCTTACCGCCGTCATCTACCGCCGTAACTTTTGCCTCGTAAGTTCTCGATACAGACGTCGAACGTAGCAAACCTCGACAAAGTCTTACTTGCTTGCGTCAAACCTAGCAAAGCTAGGCAAACTGCTTACTTCTCAATAGATCAACGTGACTGAGGAAGATAAATGCAGACGGCGCTGCGCACAACACATCTTCTAGCTCGTTGATACCAATTCCGTCATACCACTACCATCGTGCTCAGACAGCAAGGCTACAAAACCTTTTGACATGGCTGCATGCTGCGTATCACGCGGTTGCTATCGCTAGTTGCTTGGTCACATTGTGCCAAAAGAGCAAAACGTATGCGAGCGAAACTAAGGTTAGTGTCGTTCGGCTATCGCACCAACCTGATCTTCGATACAAGGGTGACGCGATTGCCGCACGCGCAAGCACAACTTGTATCCGAAGCAAAGGAGATACAGTCAGCACCACGAGCATCTGATTGATCTATGATTCGCGAATTGCGTAGGTCTGTATCATTGACTATCCTGCAGATTCTGAACATCTTTGGCACATGTTCTCGGTCATACTTGTACGTCGAGCCTTTTCCACGTCATAACTATACATGTGCACTCATGAGCTCCTCTTTTGCTTGTCGAATACTACAATGCTTGCACGCTACTCCTACCTACACGCCTGATCTCTGACGAACAACGCTGATTGCTGACTGCAAGCGTTGATAATACCGTTCAAAGGACGCTACAACAGTGTGTTCTCCGTCGCGCATGTGCCGCTGCTTCCAGTCGATGGTATCTCGTTTTGTCATTCCTGACTAGCATTCGTCCCATATGGGATGAGCACGCAGACAGGTGGTCCGCCTCTCACGCACACCAGCTGCTCCCAGCATCTGTAAGGCCGTGTGGCGGATCCATACGTGCACCGAGACGCTGAGCTCAAATGTCACAGCGAAACTGGCTATTCTATGGCGCGGAGTGAAGCGTCTCAACTGACTGCACAGCTATCTACTCGACCGGCTTTCGACCAGACCCGAACGGGTATGTGCTCGTACGTTCGCGTTATTCGATCTTGTTCATCTGTTGTTTCATGTGTTGTGCTATGCTTTTCCGATTTATCGTTGTGGCACCACCGAGACACTCACAGGCCAAGAAGACCGAACAGGCTACCGCAGCGATCTGCCTCCATTAGCTGATCCAGACAACAGTGCTACGCTGGCAAAAACCGATACGAAAAGTACAGTGCACTGTCAATGACGTGACGAAACAGCTCTACGCGTCGTCCGGACAAGATCACTCGATTTCGGCAGCACGTTCGCTCCAATCCAGTCAGCGACACTGCAACACGAACGACATATTGCAGTTTGCATGGACTCATTTATCCATCTTGTCGATCGCAACAAGTAGAGACGGGACCGGCGAGAGCTTGTGCCTAAACTAGGCGGTCCTCGACTCGCGCGTCCCAACGAATGAGCTGGTGCACAAAGCCGGTACGCGACAGGTGTCACGGCGATCGTCGTGACAGTCTCCAATTAGCCCAAAAGACGCCACGATGGGGCAAAGTGAGGGACCGGTAGAGGTTCCCAGTAATGGTACAGTGTGGCAAAGTGACGGACCGGCAGAGATTCCCAGCAATGCCTCAACGCCCCGCAGCGATGTGCTGGTGAGCGTTCGGTCGGTGCTGGAAGACGAGCCACTGCTGGTGCAAAAAGAGCTGACGGTCGACGAAGAGGACGAAGCGGACGAAGCAGTGGAGGAGACTGCACCGGTACTTGCGCCTGCTGCCAAAGTGTTCTTCTTGGACGGCATTCGTGGCCTGGCCGCTATCTTAGTCGTCACGCAGCACTCGCACGAGTACATGCAGGACCTGAACTTGGGCGCCATTGCCGTCGACTCGTTCTTTGTCCTGTCGTCGTTTCTGCTCACGTGGCTCTTTATGCGGAAGAGCATTCGCCTGCTCGATGCCCGAGCCGGAGCGCGCACGTGGCTCTTCGCCGTGGCCGACTACCTGTCGAGACGCTTTTTCCGCGTGTATCCGCTGTTTGCTATCACGTGCATCGTGCTGTGGTGCATGACCGACGCCGATAAGGACAACTACTACCTGGTCAAAGGCACTGGAAGCTACGACCTGCTCAAGACCCTGACGTTCGAGTTTCACCACCGGTACCACGTCTTTTGGACGCTCCCGCTCGAGATCACGTACTACTTTATCATTCCAGTGTTTGTGCTCGTGACGCTCGCCCTGCGGAAGTTCTGGTGGGTCCCCTTCGTCCCGGCCTACTGCTGGGTTGTCTACGAAGGCTGGAACGAGTACCGCACGAGCCACGCGCCGTTCCGTCCGCACATTCCGACGTTCCTGGCAGGATCGATGGCGGCCGTGATTTTCCTCAAGCTCGACACGTGGATGAAGGCCAATGAGTTCGAGTTCCGGCTGGTCCACAAAGTCGTGCTGCGTGCGATTGAGTTCACGGCGATTGCTCTGTTTCTCAGCATCGCCTTCCGCGGCCTCTTCTTCATTTGGGTGCACGCAAACATAGCGCCGACGACCCCGGGATTCCCATTCACGAGTGTGCTCTTGACGATAATTATCGTGTCCGAGATGCTGCTACCGTCGTCGGTGTCGTCCGTCTTCGGGTGGAGCGTCTTGCGCCATTGGGGCAAGATCAGCTTCTCCGTCTACCTGCTGCACACGTTTGTTATCTCGAACAAGAGCGTGAACCACCAGTCGAATTACTACTGCCGACTCTTCTCCCGCTTCGGACTGATCTGTGTGCTGGCTACGACTTCGTACTACGTGGTCGAGTACCCGTCTCAACTAGTGGCAAAGCGCGTCACGAAGGCTCTCAGCGCGCAGGAAGCAAAGGGCTATAATTACGCCTTACCGAGTCAGTGTGATGATGATGCAGGCAAACCTGCGGACAAATAATGGTCTCTGGAAAGTGCTGGGTCCGGGAAGGTCGACGCGAGCTGACCGGCGGCGGAAAAGACGATCATCAACACTGTCGATGTGTATCTGCATGTGTGCGACGCCGCAGATGATATGTGTAGTCTATACGACGTGGATCGACTCGATGAGTTTTCGTCTGTAGCTGCGCACACTCATTGCTGGACTTCCTGCGTCTTTCAAGTTGTGATCGTTCTTCGTGGACAAGTTTGCGTTGCAGGCACTAGAAGTTGGAGAGCTAAAGAATGCAGCAAAAGACAGCAATATACGCAGAGCAAGCACCGCATGAAGGGTACGTCTTGATTATTAGCATTAGTTTTCGTGGACGCATGAGCACACGAACATCGCATGCAGCCGGAAGCTCGCTTACCTGAGCAGACGCGTAATGAGGCGCTCGCTGCCTAAGTGTATATCCGGTGACGCCTGGCTAGAGGTTTGGAATGGACATCCAACGTATTCTTGGAAAAAGGTGCACGCGATGGAGGTGCAGACTTGAGAAGTGAGACGGTGCGCGATGCTTACTACACCTTCGAGACAGTGCGAGAAGCACTCAAGCACTCTGTTGCCCGAGTCCAGCTCTACACGTCAAACTCAAGTGACCAGCTCGTCTGGATGTCGTGTCCGAACACGCACGCAATGAGGTGTAGTTCGGCTACAACAAACAGTCCGAACCGGCCACGAAAGCTCGACAACGGCAGCTGCTGCTCTCGAACGTCAGAGCCAAGGCAAGCACGCAATGGGGTGCTCGCTTAGGCACTTGGTCACGAGAGCAGCGACTGCCGCCTGTAGAGGCAGGATCCATGGCACTAGTGTCGGCCTGCACGAAATGAGGTGCAGCTGCCGACACAGTTCATCGAGAAACTTGAATGCTCGCACTGTGCAAAAGGCAGTCCGATACTGCGCTTGATGGTCGTGCAACTTGTGCATCGTTTTGTCCAGCATACTTGTAATGGAGATGCGTGGAATCTTGGCTTGACTTGACTTGTGACGTGCAGTGAGTGATGCGCATGGAATGAGATGCGACACACGGCTACATAGACGAGGTCTTTGGTCCAGACGAGCCATGTCTTGAAACCTGAAGAATACTTGGCGAGCAACTTGAAGCGTGGAGAAATGGAAACGTAGGTCTTGATGATGACGACGGAGGTGTAGGTAGACTAGTGCTGACCAATAGAGTCTTGGGTCTTGGGTCTTGGATACCGTGAAGGAAGATCGTGGGTCAGTGCTTCGGCTTTCGCATCAATGATGGCTGACTTGGCAGACTGACAAGCGGTGCGTTGTGAAGACGCTAAATAATCTATTGTGCTGCCACGTGCGGTCGAAGGCACGGGGCACGTGAGCTACAGAGGAGCTGCGATCGTTGCAGCATTGCAGCCAAAACACGACAAGGGTTAGTCGGTTAGTCGTCGCTCTCACGGTTGACCAGCTCTCGCTCCATTGGTCCGTACCTAAAAGAAGCGAATGGCAACTGAAGTCGTGAGACCTGCGACGAAACGTGTGCGCTGTCGATACTCACACGAGCGCGCGCGCTCATTGACGTACAAATGCGTGATATCCTGCAGGGGCATCCGCTTCGGAGTTGCACCTTTGAACACTTTCTTCACCGTCTTTTTCGGTTTGGCATCTGCCGTCACTTTGGTCGATTTCGTCGTCACCTTTTTCGTCTTCTTCTTTGTGCTCTGCGTGGCCTTTGCGGCCGATTTCTTGGCCGAGATCGTGGACTTTGGCGCTGGCTTTTGCTGCTGCGGCGTCACTGGGACCGCCTCCTGCTTCTGCTTGTCGTCCGTCTCGAGAGGGACGAGCGGCGCTTGCTCTTGGTGCCGGCTCCGTTGGACTGGAGCTGTCGGCGCTTGCACGTTCACTGCGCTCTGCGTCTTCCGCCTCTTGACGTCCCGTCGGTCGTGAAGGTCGTCGTCATCGCTGCCATTGTCGCTCCGTTCGCGTCGCCGCTTGAGGTTCCGACGCGGATCTTGCGCACGGCTCGCGGTCCGTCTGGGAGGACGTGGGGGCGTTCGTGAGGCCGCAGGGACTTGACTTGACACGGGCCGCGCGCGGCGACGGATGAGGTAGCCATAGTTCTCCTTGTCGGACTCGTCCAAGTACTCGTAGGACTCGCAGTAGAGGAGCGGCAAGAGGTGGTCGAGCATTTCCACGCGCTGCAGAGATTCCGATATTGAGGCGAAGCTCTGGCGGTGTTGGGCTCGAAATTGAGCGCCAAAATCAAAACGCTTTCTTCCCGCCAAAAAGGACCGACGGGCGACAAGTTGCACCGGTATCGGTACCAGCAGTGCTGGCCCGTGTCACGTACCGGTATACCGACAAGTCCGAAGAGCGCAACAAGTGATCATCGCGACGTCACGACTGCTCGTAAACAGCCGACGAAACGCTCGCGGGATGTGCGGAGTATCGAGCGATAACCGTAAGCAAAGTCACTCACTCACTCAGTCAGTCACTCACTCAGTCACTCACTCACTCTCTCATTCACTCATACACTCAGTCAGTCAGTCAGTCAGTCGATCGGGTCAGTAAACGCCAATACAACACGCAAAGCAAATGCTGCGACAAAAGAGGCGAACGAACGAGCGGCGCGACATGCGACAGACAAAGTTTGCCATTCAGAGGGAGTGAGTTGAGCGCTCTCGAGACTGAAACCGGTCGAGACGTTAATTCGCGTCGTTCGCCTTTCGCTGTGCTACTCACTGCGTGCGATGCGTAAGACGAATGGGCTGTGGCACGCAATGGCCAAAGGAGCGCATGATCCACAATGAGGATGAGCGCTATGAGACGCGAGTCGCACGGCCTTTGCACTCGGCTCGAGCCGCTGCTGCGTGCATTGCAACAGCCGCAGCTCGCCACAAAGTGAACGTTTGCAAACTCGACACCACGTTTGGCTGTCGCCTCGATAGAGCGCGCGAACGCCGCACCGTTTGTTTGTTTGCAGCGAGCAAACGACCGAGCTCGTGGACGTCCGTGCACCGCGTCACCCGCTGGCGACCGACAGATCCCTCGGGCAGCCACTGCGTCGTATCGGACTGAATGAGTGCCGTTGTTCCTGTGGCCTCGTTCTGACTGCAGTCGCCGCGCGCTTCCTCAAACGGCTCTGTAGCTATCTCACTGGTCTGTCCACGAGCGACGAGATCGATCAGCACGCACCCACTTGCGCACACCCACGAGTGCGTGGAAGCCAACGTCACCTCACGTCTTGTCATGCATTCGTACCCTCATATTAGCCTCCCAACGAGCCGATCGTTGTGTTAAAAGGCAATAATAAATTCCCTACCTCTACTTCACGCGCCGTGTGCTCCGCCGCCTCTCCGAATCCAATCCAGCCTCGACAAGGCATCTATCGTGTGTGGTGTGTTGCCGATCGATCTTGCACCACTCGCTTGCGCTCGCAGTCCATGCGGCCACAGTGTGTAAATCCGTCGGTCGCTCCACCAATTCCTTCACCCACCCGCTCGACTCTGTACGCGCCGTCATCGCTCCCGTTGACTGCACCTCTACTTCGTTAGATCCACTCGGAACGCATGTCGAAGATGGACGATCGACGAGGGTTCAGCTCCGATGGTCGCTCACTAGCTGGCAAACTCTTCTCCCTCGTCGTCTCCGTCTCCTCCTCTGGCTCGCCGTCTTCTGATACTGATTTAGGGACCCGAACCGAAGAGCCGTGGCTCGAGGAAAACGTGTCGGACAGCACTCGCTTGCTCGGCTTCGAGACGCTCACGACAGGCGACTTGCGGTCGAAGAGCGACTCGGGTCGCTCCCCCGTTCGGCTGCTCGATTTCGACGTGAGGCGCGGCGTGAGCTCCAACACAGCCCCACTCGCAGCTTCCGATGATGTGCGGTGCTCGTCGTTGCTCGCGCGCGTCGAGAACGCGGGCATGTCCTCGCGCGGACGCTTCCGCAACGCAGCTGCAATGCTCGCGGTGGACGAGAGGGCCCGACCACTGAGCCGCTGGAGTTCTAGTTGCTCGGCTAAGGCGTCTTCGATATCAATGTTCGCTCCGTGATCCGTCCGACGCGACGTCTCATCTCGTGGTTTGCAACTCCTGCGGCTAAAGAACCGGCGGATGCAGCGCAAGAGCGACTTGAACATAATTCTTCCGGTAGTGCCCACACGTCCGCTCTGGCCACCCGTCGATCGATCGCTCGCTCGCTCGAAGCTCCAACTGCGCCTACAAAGAGACAGATCAAAGCTGACGGAATACAAAAAACAAGCGATCAGTTCGTGCGGTCGGTCGCTCCAGCGGCTACGTGACGCGATTTCCCTCGCGACCGAACATCCAGTCACGAAGTCCGTCCATCGATCGACTCTTCCGCACGGACCTACCGGTCAAGAGCGTATGCGCTGCTGCTGCTGCTGCCCGTGTCGCTACGCCCGAAGAACGAGTGCGTCTCAGCCAATCGCTCGTTGCAATAGCGTGCGATCGACGCGTTTTTCCGTCGTGACTTCCGCCCCCTACGTCGCTGTTAGTTAGTGACGTTGTCGTCGATAGTGTCGTTAATTTCGTTGTTGTTGACAGTGTCGTTCAGTCTGTCAGACGGCACTATGCAAACTGTTGGCCAGCGCCGCGACTTTGGACGCTTCGCTCGGTCGCAATCGTCTGCCGATCGAACTTTGTGTGTGAGTGTGCGAGTGCGCATGTCCACGAGCGCCTGCCGCCTGCCTCGTCTCCTCGGGTCGCGAGTGGCCGCTTTATGTGCCGAACTGACTGCACGCGACCCGCCAGTGGTATCGGTATCTGCGGGACGAGAGACAGTCCAGCAACAACTTTCTCGCCAACATATTTCGCCAGCGCTGACTCGACGGACTTTGTTGAAGTGAGACTCAAAGCTCAGGAACGACCAACTGCGGTTCGCCGGTGAAGCAAAGCGCGCGGAAATTGGATTGGCGGCGCAGGAGGAGATGCAGTCGACTGTCTCTTGGGCAGTCTGTGCGTCAATTGGTACAGCGACTCACGAGGCGGCTGCATGCGGATGTTCTCGTGTGAAAGCCGTCTCTTCAGCCAACTGACTCGTTGGCGCACATCCTGAGCTCTGCATGTGCTTCTTCCGCAGGCCATCTAATGGTGCGGCAACGACTTGTTCACACGAGCCCATTGGACACCCGATCGACCGATAGGGTTTTCACTATCGTCTACGTGCAGGCATCGCACTTCTGCGAAGAGGCGCGACTGGGACGTCGGCAGTTGTAACGCTGCAACGAGCGGCCCGAAGCACCGGACTTATCCTCGAGCACCACTGCGTGGGGCAGCGAGCGAGTTGGTCTCCGCCTCGATTAGGACTCGACACGTTTGCGTCGGTCGACGTGGTCGAAGACAGGCGCTCCGCTCAGCTTCGGGCGTGGGAAACCATTCAAGGCGGAAGAAACTGGTGACGTGGGCAGACGCAGTAGACGTACGCACTTGGGCATTCCTGCTCCAAGCACGTAATCAAGCGCGCGCGACAAGACGTGGAAACAACCCCCTGGCCAGCCCTTTTCCAAGCAAACATTCCCAAATTTTCACGGTTCAGCTCAAGCCAGTCTTTTTCCCTTCGGGGCAGTCACGTCGGAGGGAATCCTCCCCTTGGGGAGCCGACGTGGTCGAAGATCTGACGCGGGCACGCTGCACTCGCAGTTGCGGGTGTGGGCGTAGGAGACCGACGGGTCGCGCAAGCGGCCCTAGCAGGGGTATTTTACGGACTGGAGGCGTACCCCGCGCCACGTGTCGCCGCTGCGGCGAGCGCACACTCCACGTCAAGGGGCCGCGCGAGCGGCTGAAGGGGCCACCATCGCAGATGGCTGAGCTCCTCGGAGAGATATATGGCGGGTTGGCGTTCTCCACGCCACGCAGTCACTTCGGTGTTCGCACTCCACGTCGGGGGCCGCGCAAGCGGCTGAAGGGAGCCACCATCGCAGATGGTTGAGCTCCTCGGAGAGATATACGGCGGGTTGGCGTTCTCCACGCCACGCAGTCACTTCGGTGATCGCACTCCACGTCGGGGGCCGCGCAAGCGGCTGAAGGGAGCCACCATCGCAGATGGTTGAGCTCCTCGGAGAGATATACGGCGGGTTGGCGTTCTCCACGCCACGCAGTCACTTCGGTGATCGCACTCCACGTCGGGGGCCGCGCAAGCGGCTGAAGGGAGCCACCATCGCAGATGGTTGAGCTCCTCGGAGAGATAGACGGCGGGTTGGCGTTCTCCACGCCACGCAGTCACTTCGGTGATCGCACTCCACGTCGGGGGCCGCGCAAGCGGCTGAAGGGAGCCACCATCGCAGATGGCTGAGCTCCTCGGAGAGATATATGGCGGGTTGGCGTTCTCCACGCCACGCAGTCACTTCGGTGATCGCACTCCACGTCGGGGGCCGCGCAAGCGGCTGAAGGGAGCCACCATCGCAGATGGTTGAGCTCCTCGGAGAGATATATGGCGGGTTGGCGTTCTCCACGCCACGCAGTCACTTCGGTGTTCGCACTCCACGTCGGGGGCCGCGCAAGCGGTCCTAAAGGGGTTTGTTGCCTTATATGGCAGCATACCCGCGTTGTACGTGCTGCCGCTCCGGCGGTACGCATGTCCCCAGTCTACTTGGTCGCGCCAGCGGTCATGATTGACTCGTAGTTGGCTTCGGTAGGAGGGTCTCTGACCTCGTTGCCGTCGCCCCTGGCTCTACGGAGCCCTTTAGTTGTCGACCCGATACCCGGGCCGTACTTCTTGTCACACTTATCAGTCGTTAGTTATCATAATAATGGACGTACTTGACACCACCTTTTCCAAGCAAACAGGCAAGAAATGCCCAGTGAACGAGCTGTGTTCCATGCTTACGGCTGGGATAGTAGCAGCTGCTGCTGCAGCGTATCTAGAGCCGACTCGCGATGGTGAGAAGATGGAGCCTACTTCTTTGCTCCTCTCTGCACGTGGTCGAAGCAGGTCGAGTTCTTCCCGACGTAGTGCCGTTCCAAGCCTCACTAGCGTCTCTCTTTTAACGCAACGTACGGATGTCGGTACGTACGTACGTACGAATGTATGAATGTATGTATGTATGTACGTATGAATGAATGTTCGTACGTATGTCTGTATGTCTGGGAATTACGGCGGTGGGCTACAGCCCTTCTGCTGTCCACGCCAGCAATACCGATCGGCTCACGTCTGGACGCCCACCAGCCACTGTGCATGCGGCACGCTACACCGGGTTTTTCGCCATACACCTGGAATTACCAGGGCGCAGGAATAATCGAGGGCAGCACACTGGAATCTGGGCTTAATCCGACACGGCGAGTCCAATTGCATCAGCTGACCGATGGTATACACTGGAGGTGTACGGGACATTTCCCGGAGCAGGCAGACGGGTTTACGGCATCCGAACGGACATTACGTTCCGATTCACAATCAACGGTTTTCGTCTTCGAGGCGCACCCTCTGCTTCACCGATTTCCGTGGTCAGTCCCGGACACAACGCAAAACGAGTGCGTCATAGCGTGTCTTAAACGACAAGCGTTTGCGTTTCACAAAAAAATTCTAGCCCGGCGGTTAGGAGCTTTTTTGGATCGGCTAGAAACACGCGCAAGCACGGATGACTGGCAACGAGCAGTCCTCAGCCAAACACCTAAGCAAGCATGGGATCATAGCCATGGCCTGACTGATTTTCAAGTCTGGACCGGGTACAGGATCGTGACTGGACAACTTAATCTCCATCACGCTGGGCGGTCCGAGAACGACGAATGTAGGAAGCGACCGGGCTGTCGGGGAAAAAAGGAGACTCCGGCTCATTTATTCTGGGAGTGCGCGTATGCTGAAGCTCTCTGGGGTAAACTCGTTAGTCAATGGACAGGCGAGCGACCATCACGACAGCGCACTCAGCAATTTTTTCAAGCGTGTGCAAGTCGACGAGTGTCGCACGTACCACAGCACCGCACAGCAATACTGAAAGACCGCTTTCAGGAGGATCGGGAAATGGCCGACCACGTCTGGAAGAGAATGTGGCACATTCTTGCGACGATGTGTCTTACAAGGCTGTGGACCGACCGCAATGAAGCCGTCTACAGCACAGTCGTGTCCGACCTCCCCGGAACCACGCAGAGCTTTTGGACTGCATGCGTCTGCCAACTTCGCGCGATTGCGACCAGAGAGCACAGAAAAGAGGCTTCAGCCATCATGGGCGCCGTGCTAGTATCCAGCATCGAGTTGCTCGAACGAGCACCTGACGGGCCTCCAGGCATGTCAAGGGCTAGCCAAAGCCACCCTTCGGACAAACCGGGGCTGGCCGTTTGGCTCCGCATTTACCAGAGATCTTGTACATAGCTAAACCCATGTTAATAGACCATCTGATCACAAAAAAAAAAAAAAAAAAAAAAAAAAAAAAATGTCTGTATGTCTGTACTTGTACCAATTCCTTCCCAATTGATCCATCTCCAGTCGCTTTGTCTCGCGACTTGTCACTCGAGCGCATGATCATTACTTACGTCTCATTCCCTCTCGCAATTGATACCCACCCCCCTCTTTGATTACGGAGCCCTCTTGAGACCTCTAGAACACAATACACGACCACCTCCCGACCGCGTCACTCGCGTTTCGCCGATCCCCAACATGGCCACCAGCGGCGCACTGCTGCACTCGTGCACTGTGTACCTCTACCTCTACGACGCCGCCAGCGGCTCCTACACGCAGCAGACCGACGCAGCTGTGGGCTGTGCGCTGCTCGGGGGCGACCGCCCGCGCACGTTTTCGCTGCTGCTCTACGACGCGCAGAAGGCGCCGCTGCTGCAGGTTCCGCTCACGTCGGACACGCGACTGGTGCCGCAGCAGAGCAACTACGTGAACTTCTACGACCACACGTCGAAGCGCTTCTACGCGCTGCGGTTCCGAGACGCGGCAGCGAGTGAGGAGTTTGTACGGGCAGCGGCACTGACGAAGGCGCAGAGTCTCGTGCTCTCTGCGACGTCTTTCGAGCGCCAGAAGCGGCGGGTGGTGCTTGTGGAGGACGTGACGGTCGGACGGGACGATGCTGAGGCACTTGGGGCTGGAGACGTGGCGGGGATTGCGCTCAAAAAATGGCACGGGACAGTGGAAGCGCGCGACCGGTTCTTCTCGACGAACCCGTTGGACATTTGCAGGCATGAGCCGACCGAAGCAACGACTGGCACTGACGTGAAGAGGATCAAGCTAGTGGATGAAACAGGGGACGGAGAAACGGACCCGTTCGTTGCAGTGTTGGCGACCGAAGCGCTCGTTGGGATGCGCAAGATGGCCAAGCGACTGGTGACTGTGACGTTCCCGGACACTCAGGAGTGGGTCATTGCAGAGGTGGAGCTGGTCAAAGTGAAGAAGAGCACGAGGTCTGGTGCGGACTCGACGCCGACTCAGGCAAAGACTGAGCACGCAAGAGGACTGACTGCTGCTGCCACTGCTGCTGCTGCTGGTGGAATGGAGGAAAAGACGCTAAAAGAGCATGACGATCTCGTCAAGCGCATGGCAGTGCTGTCCCGAGTCGGCAGTCAAACGTCGGGATTGATGGCAAGCGTGCAGACAAGAGTGGACAGCCGCTCCACGTCGATCAGTGACGGTGATGCAGCGCTACGGCGAACGTCCTGTAGCGGATCGCAGTCGACGGACCCTCCCGCAGGCTATGTACCTGTACTTCTGGCTGGGCTCCAGCTTCCAGGACAACGGCCAGGGTCGTTTCGCAATCTGAAGAATGAGTTGGAGGCAGCACAGCCGTCAGATGCGTCTTCGCCTTCGCATGCAAAGCCGGTGGCGGTAAAAGCGGTCGAACCGCTGAGGCAGCTGTCGCGTAATGTGAACGGTGGCGCTACACTGACGTCATCGTCGTCTAGTGATCTAGAGCGGTTGATGAAAGAGCAATCGGATTTGGCGCGACTTCGTGAGGAGTTAGAACTTAGCAAGCGCAAGCTTCAAGAGGCCGATGCAAGTGTTGATGTATCACTGACTCAGCGCCGGCAGCTGTCGAACGGGGAAGGTAGTCACTCCACGGGCTTGACCGAGGGAAAGCTGGCGCAAGAGAAGCAAGCTCCTTTCTTTGCGCCCACAGCATTTTCGTTGATGGGCACCCATGCGCTCTCCGTTGGAACGTCATCAGCGTATGGGACAACGACAGGCAAGTGGTCGCCTGCTAACAGGGATCTAGTGCCGTCTTTTCCGCCGTCCAAGTTCATTTCCCAGTCATTGGCACCCGCGGCACCGCCAACCCCATTCTCATCGTCGCTGACGCCATACGCTAATCAATCGTACCCGTCGTACCCGTCGACGCCAGGAGTGCCAGCGTCAGGCTCGTCGCCGGATGTTGAGAATGGTATATTTCGTCTACAACGATCGTCTACATCGATTGAGTCCATGTTGCACGATCTGCAGTCGAAGGTGGATCGGTTGCTAAACGTGCAAAACTCGATGAAAGCGACGTCGTATGCTGGAAACTTGCGCAAGTACGGTGGAAGTGCACCATTCTCGTCTCTCGCATTCTCTTCGTCGTCGTCGTCGTCGTCGTCGTCGTCTTCGTCAATGTTACTGAAAAATATCGAAAAGACTCTCGCACAGCGTGACCAGCTTCAGGAAGCCAATGCTCGACTTGAGGAAGCGAACGGTGAGCTCGAATCCAGCGTCGAAGATCTGCAGAATCAACATGAGTCACTCCAGATGGAAAACCGGGCGCTTTTGGACAAACTGCAAAGCGGGAACCATTTGCAACAGGAGAAGTTTGGCGCAGAATTGCGAAGTGTTCAAGCAAAACTCAGCCAGTCTCAGGAGCAAATGCTTGCGTACCAAGAAGAGAACTTTCGACTTCGGGCAGAACTTGCTGCAAAGGACGACAAGCTTACGAAAGAGAAGGCAAAGCTGCAAGAGGATATGCAGAAGCAGTATGAAGCTATGAAGCGACAGGCCGAGGATGAGGTCCGTCAAGGCTTGATGGACTCAATCGATAAAATGGCGACTGAAAACGCCACGCTGATGGCACAAGTTGCTGAGTATAATGCTCAGAAGAAGCAGTGGGCCCTCGAGCGGGATATGATGAACAAGCGGCTGAGTCAAGCCCAGAGCCAGCAGGTGCAGCTCCAAGACAATTCTGTGAAATCGCAAAGTGCACAGAACTCGCGCGTACAGGAACTACTGGCTCGGCTTGAGCAGGTTGAAGCAGAATCGAAAGGAATGAGACAGCAGGCGGATGGGTTTCGCTCCAAAGCGCAGCATCTGGAGGAGCTGCTTGTGTCGAAAGAGCACGAGATGGCCCAATTACAGACGACAAAAAATGAGAGCGAGTACGCGGCGCTGAGTGGGCTGTTTAAGGAGTTCATGAACGACATTTACTTCCACTTCCAAGACGCGTTTGATGAGGACACAGAGTTCACTGGCAAAGAGATCGTGATGGCGATTCGGAAGATTCTCAAACAGAACACGATGGACATCCTCGCAAAGCTGGAGGAATTCTACCAGCAGCAAGTACAGCATCGTCAGTGATAGGTTTGTGCCAGCTGCGGTTTAACTGAAGTGGAAGGCTTGATCGTAACTGGCACTGAAGTGGCGATGTGACTAGCGCCCTTTTTCGACGGCTACCACACTGCTGTGGCCCTTGATTGACTCGTCAGCCTCAATGTGCTACGGCAGCATAGGAATGGCCGCCAGGAGCTCCTGTGCCTCTTTGAATGAGTCGAGCAGCTTCACCTCGTCACGATGGGCCTCGATGAAGTTTGACACGTCCGTGACTGCCTCTCGTAGCCGACTTTGGCAGTCTGGCAGCATCGTCTCCGTCTCCACCAGTACTTCTTGTTGCTTCCGGATGTCGTATTCGTCCTTATTGTCGGCACGCATTCGGTCGATCTTGGCTTGTTGGGCACTGCGTTCCTCGGCGTAGTACTCGAGGTCTTTCTTCACTCTAGTGCAGCGACGCAGATACGGTGTCGTTAGTGAATGCTCATCATGTGCAGTTATGCAATTGGGCGTCGTACCGGCGCAGCGTACCCACTTTGATCTTGAACTGCCGTTCGGACGTCATGATTTGCTACTGAGCGTTCGGATAGTGACTGGATACTGAAGAGATTGTGACTGGATACTGAAGAGATTGTGCCATGCGCTGGCTGATTGGCTACGCGCTACAATACAAAACGGTATGTCAGTCAGTCCCACCGGTATACGAAAACGTGTCGGTCGTTCACAGGCGAACGCGAAACAGTAGTTTTGCTTCTGACGTATGTTTTGCAGACTACCGCTTATTCACAAGAGTGACCATTCATGTCAATAAAATTGACGCACGAAAAGTCTGAACCCGATATTCGGTAGCTCGACTTCCATGGCCAGTGTCGGTCGGTCGGTCACACGTCGCTCGCTCGCTCGCTAGTCCAGAGAGACTTCCGAGGCGCCACAGCTCCAGTAGCTCTAGTTGCTGGCAGTGTAAGTCTTCTCGAGTGGGTGGGGACGCGTGATCACGTCAAAGCGATCCGGACCCACGCCAATCCACTTGATGTGCGTGCCCAAGAGCTCCTCCACGCGCAACACGTACTTCTTCGCAGCTTCCGGCAACTCTGCAAACGTCTTGCACTTCGAGATATCCTCCGCCCAGCCATCCAGTTCCTCGTACTCCACGACTGAGTTTTCCAGCAGCTGCAAATTCGACGGCATGCCATCCAACTTCTTGCCCTTGTGCCAGTATGCAACACCAATCTTCACCTTCTTCAGACCAGTCAGCACGTCGAGCTTGGTCAGGTTCAGCTCCGTGAAGCCATTCACCATATTCGAGTACCGCATCTGAGGAATATCCAGCCAGCCACACCGACGCGCGCGACCCGTTGTCGTACCAAACTCGGCGCCGACCGTACCCAGGTGGTTGCCCACCTCATCGTGCAGTTCGGTCGGAAACGGTCCTTCCCCAACACGCGTACAGTACGCCTTGACAATGCCAATGATGCCGTTCAAGCGGTTCGGAGAGATACCACCGCCAGTGCACACACTACCGATACTCGGGTTGCTTGACGTCACGTACGGGTACGTGCCAAAGTCAATGTCCAGCATGGTGGCATTCGCACCTTCGACCAGTATCTTCTTGCCCGACACATACGCGTCGTTCAGGTACGCTACCGTGTCGACCGTCATGCTCAAGATCTTGTCTTTCATGTCGCTGTACACCTTGATCTCAGCATCTGCGTCCGCCACGAGCTCGGGGTAATTGTCCTTGTAAAACTTGACCTGGTCACGCAGCTTCTCCGAGAAATCGTCAAAGTAGCGCAAGTCCCCCACGCGAACGCCGTTGCGCAGCATCTTGGACGAGTACGCCGGACCGATGCCCTTCTTGGTCGTACCGATCTTGTTCCGGCCTCGACGGAGCTCGTTGATGCCGTCCACTTCCTGGTGCAGATCGAGCACCATGTGCGCTCGGTCCGAAATGAGGATGCGGCCTTGGTAGCTCACGCCCATTTTCTCCAGCCCCTCAAGCTCTTGCAGGAAGCTCGGCAAGTGCACGACAACGCCATTGCCAATGATGCACACCGCCTCTGGGTTCAAGATGCCCGACGGCACGAGGTGGAACTTGTACTTCCTGCCTTCGTGGACGATCGTGTGGCCCGCGTTCGAGCCGCCGGCGACGCGCACGATCACGTCGTACGATTGCGACAGACTGTCGACGAGCTTGCCCTTGCCCTCGTCGCCCCATTGAGCCCCCAAGACCACGTCGACGCCTGCATTGAGGCTGTCCGTGTGGCGGTGGGGGTTCGCCACGGCGCTCTCGATGCGGTTGAGCTTGGCCACGACCTCCTTGAGCATTGCCTGCGTCACGGCTTCTCGACTCACGGGCTTCACCGGGCCTTCGCACTTGGCGACCGACAGTGCGTCGTCCCCGTCTTCTCCTCCGGCGATCGCGACGCCTGCAGCGACAGCGACAGCGGCTGTAGCCAGTGGCAGAAACGGACGGTACTGACGCGCGCGCTCACTGGTGGCGACATCCAGCGCGGCCGACGCGTGCGCCACGTGCAACTGCCGGGCGGAGCAGCGCACGGCCGCGCGCACGGCTGTGGCCGCGACGTCGAGACGCATGACAGACAGACAGACAGACAGACAGGCGGTCAGTCGGCGTGGACTCACTCGCGCGCGGTGGCTGCTCGACTGAGCGCTCGGTGGCTACGAGGCCACGTGGGGACGGGCGCGTACCGGTATACTGCAGCGACGTGGTTGGCTGAAAAGGTACCGGTACCTCGCGCGGGCTCGAGCCCCGTACCAACATATTGTGTCGTGTCAGCTTCGGCTACGGACATATATCCACATGTGTCACAGGTGCGTTTATTACGACGACAATACCTCACGCCCTATTACCACAAACAAAGCGCCACGACAACCTCTCGCGACCTGCAAATGTTCGCCACGTAATGCTCTATCGCGATCGCCTCTTCCTGTGCGAGCCGCCGCGTTTCTAGTTCGCCTCCACAACTGCTCGTCCATCAATCAGTTTCCTGGCCAGATCAGAGACGCTGCGAAGGTCCGTGACTTGAGCACATCGCACGCACAACTGCGTCTCCGCCGCATCCACTTCAGGTGCGTATTTCCAGCAGCGCGGACACTTGTGGCCCTCGGCCGGAGTCAGCACCAGCTTTACGCCCATCGGGGCGTCGCTCGGGCCCATTGCCAGTTGACAACGCGCCTTGAACTGCTCTGCACTTCCGATCTCGGCTTCGGATCCCACGACTTTCACGCTCGAGCATAGAAACACGTCCTCGAGCTCGGCGGAGCTGCTCGCGACCGGAGACAGCAGTGCTGCAGCACGCGGATCGGACTCGGAAGCGACCACATAGACGTTGCACTGGAGCTGACTGCCGACTCGACCGGCTTGGCGCATCTGCTCTACCACTCGGTTCACCTCAAAGCGCAGCTGACGGATCGCAGTCCAGTCACGCGACAATTCGTCGTTCGTCCACTCGTCCGCACTCGGCATCCAGTCTCCATCCAGAAACACACTACCGACCACATCGTCGAGCGGGATGTCTCCTTGCAGCTGCGACAGCCAATGAAGGCGAATATCTTCAGCTGTGTGTGGCGCCACGGGTGCAAGCGCACGGGTAAGCGCTTGCAACGACAGCCACAATACGGTCTGAGCAGAGCGTCGAGTCTGCGAGTTGGCTGCGTCGCAGTACAGGCGGTCCTTGGTAGCCTCCATGTAGAAAGCTGATAGATCCGTCGAAATGAAGTGCGAGAGGGCGTGCTGGGCACGGTTGAACGCAAACGCATCGTATGCCGCGCTCACTGACTGAACCAGCGAGTTAAGCTCGTGCAGCATGTACCGGTCCAGCGACGACTGCATGTCACTGTGCGGGACTGCGTGCAACGCTGGATCGAAATCTTGTAAATTGCCGAGCAAGAATCGTGCCGTGTTGCGCACCTTACGCAGTGCGTCGCTGGCCTTACCAACGACTGCAGGGCCGATGCTCACGTCGCCAGTGTAGTCAGTCGTGGCCACCCAGAAGCGAAGTACGTCAGCACCGTATGCGGGCACCTTTGTCTGCTTTACCTTCACAGCCTTCTGCGAACCGTTGCTCTTGGTCTCCACGCTCGTTTTCTTGTTTGCTCTCTTGTCGGTGACGGGCACCGGCATAGTGCAGCCATTGATGAAGTCGTTCGGCACAATCGTGTTGCCCAGCGACTTGGACATTTTGCTGCCCCGCTCGTCCAGAGCAAAGCCATGCGTGATGACGGTCTTGTACGGCGCCGTTCCCTGCATCGCAAGTGACGTCAGCAGCGAAGACTGGAACCAACCCCTGTGTTGGTCGGAGCCTTCGAGGTACACATTGGCACAGATCGGCTCGTCTCTGGCCGGCTCAAACAAGTTGGGCAGCACCGCGTGCCAACTGCTGCCGCTGTCAAACCACACGTCCAGCGTGTCAGTACCTTTCTCGTACTCATCGGCTTGATCATGGAGCGATTCTGGCAGCAGCTCGCGAACTGACAGATCCCACCAGCAGTCCGCTCCCTCGCGCTCAACTTCGCCGTTCTCACCCATAACGACGTACGTCTTTACAATGCCCTGAAGATGTCCAATGCTTTCCTTTGTGATCAGCGGTTCACCCGTGACTTTGTGGTAAAACACTGGAATCGGCAGTCCCCACGCGCGCTGGCGAGAGATGCACCACTCGTGACGGCTGGACAGGGTTGCTTCCAAACGTCGTCGCGCGCTAGGCGGTACCATCTGGACCGAGTGCTGCAGCACTTCTTTACCCCGTGCATGAAGCGCATCTAGACGAGCAAACCATTGAGCTGTAGCACGAAAGATTACAGGCTTCTTCGTACGCCAATCGCACGGGTACCGATGACGGTATTCATCTACGGATAGCAAGTTCCCTGAGTTCTTGAGCAAATCGACAACTGCAGTGTTGCCCTCGTCCAAGACACAAAGCCCCTCGAGACCTTGTCCAGCTTCAGCAGTAAAGCACCCGTCAGCATCGACTGGACAAAGAATGTCTGGATGCTCGCCGGGTGTCGAATGGTGCGCCATCCACATGTAGTAATCGTCTTGACCGTGTCCCGGGGCTGTGTGCACGACACCAGTACCTGCTTCGGTCGTCACATGCTCTCCCACTAGCACGACGACTTCTCGGTCTACCAGCGGATGCGCAAAGCGCGCACCTTCCAAACTGGCGCCTCTGATTGTCTCCAGCACGTCCAGCTCTACTTCCGCCTCAGAATCGCCCTTCAACATCGCCGCAAATCTTTCCTGCAATGCACTTGCGATCAAAAAGCACTCGTTCGAGTTTGCATGCCGAGGACGCACGACCACGTACTCGAGCTCGGCATTCACACACAAAGCCTGATTGGACGGGATCGTCCACGGCGTCGTGGTCCAAATCACTGCGGTCAAGTCCTGTGCGTACTTGTCGACCATTTTTGCCATTGTCTTGCTGGCATTCGTGCCCATTGAGGCAAAGTGGAACTTGACGTATGCCGCTTGAGACACATGATCGTCCTGGTACTCGAGCTCTGCTTCAGCCAGTGCCGTGCGGGAGCTCGGGGACCAATGCACGGGCTTGAAGCCTCGATAAATAAGTCCGTCCTGCACCATCTTCTTCAGCACGTCGTATTGCCGCACTTCGTAGCTCGCTTCCATGGTCACGTAGACACTGCCCTGGGCTCCAGACCAGTCGGCCAGCACGCCCCAGCGCTCGAATTCCTTCTGCTGCTCGTGAATCGCCTGGCGAGCCAATTGTCGCGACAAGGCGCGCACTTGACCCGGCGACAACTCGGTCGCTCCAACGCGCAGCTGCTGCAGTGCCTTGTGTTCGATCGGAAGCCCGTGGCAGTCCCATCCAGGCACAAAGCGCACGCGCTTGCCCCGCAGCAGCTGATACCGGTTGATCATATCTTTCAGCACCTTATTGAGAAAGTGGCCCATGTGTAAACTCCCATTGGCGAACGGCGGCCCGTCGTGCAGCACGAACAACGGCCGGGCGGCCGACTGGTTCGCGTAGGCGAGCGAGACGCAGCGCGCGTGGAGCTGCGGCTCTCGTACCGCAGCATTGGCGCGCATGGGGAAGCGCGTGGACGGCAAGTTGAGCGTCCGGCGCATGGCCGCAGCCAGTGCGTTGGCGTCCGTCGCGTTCGGCATCGCAAAACGGCCGACGAGTGGCGACTGCGTGCGTACTTATTGCTATGTTCGGTTTTTTCACCACGGCGGCCAATCGGTCGGCCCAGCTGATTTGCCACCGGTATCACGCGCTCCGCTCTACCGACAGCAGTTGTTTTTTTCGCTCGGTATGTGACGGCGCCTCTGTTTTTTACTGTTCCTTTCGACGCAAGGCATCATGTCGGTCGTCGACGATACCGTCGCGCAGCTCTTGTGCGTGCATCTCGGGCTCGTCGACGCCGCCAGTCTGCCGCCTGCCACCAGCGTGCGCTCGTTCCGTGACTTGTACCGTCTCCCCCTGCGCTCGTTCCGCGACAAGTGTGCGCTCCTGCGCGCCGCCGAGGCCACCGGCTGCTCGGCGGTGATCCTCGACGTGCTCCTCTTTGTCTCGGAGACGATGGCGCCGCAGCTGTTTTGGAAGCAGCTGGTCGCGGCGCCGCTGTCGTTAAATCAGTGGGTCTTTTACCTCGTCGAACAGTGCATGGTCACGAACGACACGGTATCGCTCGGTGCGTTGCGGGGGCTGGTGGGGCTGCACACCGGTACGCACCGGTATCGAGAGCTCGCCGCCATGCTCCTGTCGCTCGTGTTCTACGACAAAGAGCCCCACCGGTCGCTCGCAGTGGCGGCCGACGTGCTGGGGATCGCCGGCCCCTTCCGCCACCGCTTCCCGTCGGGCGTCGTGGACCTGCTGGACGAGTACGTGGCGCTGACGAAGCTGCAGATGGAGACGGAGCGCGAAGACGCCGGCACGGCCCCAGAGGTCTGCACGCGACAGGCGTTCATGGACAAGCGGTCTCGAGGCGCGAGCAACTTGCAGGCGAACTGGCGCATGCGGTCCGTCGAGCTCACGGCGACGGAGATTGTGTACTACAAACACGACGGCAAACTCGAGTGGACGGGGCGACGAGCGGCTGGCGACGCGGCAGCAACGAGCAGGAAGAAGGGCAGTCTCGCGCTCACGCGAGGGATGCAGGTGGACACGCTCGACTACCGGGGCAAGTTCTCGCTGCGTCCGTGGTGCGTGCGCCTCTGTGACGCAGCTGGATGCGAGCAGCTGATCTTGGACGCGTTCACGCCCGAGGGACAGCGGCAGTGGGTGGCTGCGATCACGTGCAACGTGAAGCGTCTGCAGCTTGACCCTCGTTGGCTCGCGTTCCCGCGACGGTGCGTGCACCGCATGACCGTGAGCGAGTTCCTGCGCTACTCGATGCTGTACCACGGGGACGCGAGCAAGTCGCACACGCGCCACAGCGCGTGCCAGCCAGGGCTGCTCCGTGAACGGTTCAAGATTGACCCCAAGCGCTATTTATTCTCGGCCCTCTTGACCTGTGCATTGGTGCGGGATTGGAAAACAATGGAGGCGCTCGTGCAGCCGCGCAGTGCCAAGTCGGCCATCGTCTCGCTCTTTCTAGGCGGAAACAACGGCAAAGTATCAAGTGCGTCAGGTTTAACAATGTCGTCAGCGTGGAGTTCGACTCCTGCTCCTGCTCCATCTCCCTATTCTGCCTGGTCTGGCAGCACGAACGCTGCGTCGTCCTCGTCGAGTCGGCCGTCGGTTTCGTCAAATAGTGCTCCTCCTCCTCGTCCTGTACCTGCGGGCATGACTGAGGTCCAGGCGATGGTCGACGCGAGTGCCATCGGATACGGAGCGATCCTGGATATTGCGGAGCAGCGACATGCCCCACCGAGTTTACTAGCGCTGTTGGAATCGTTGCACGCGAAGAATGACCTGAAGCGCGACCGTTCGACTGGCTGGGCCTGTCGTCGAGACGTGGATGCCAGCGACGCCGCGTCGATGAAAATCACCATCGAAATCCCAGAGAGTGTTCACGTCGACACGAACTGGGAGTGATGAGACGAATCCGTGTTGGCACAGAGGAAGGAGGCGTGGACTCGTTGCTGCTATGATCTGCGTGCGGCGCTATGTGGGAGGCCTGAGCCTGTTGGGATACCATCTTCTCGGTCCGGGATACCTGCTACTTGTTCTTCGTTGAAGTGAATGTCAACAGGATAGCAGCAATTTTGCTTGGGTGGTATTGACGAACGCAGTTTGGACTGCAGGAGCTTAGCTCACTTGATGCGATCATGGCAAACTGCAACGCGTGTCGCGGCATCATGAGCCAGTCATTCGTAACGCTCGCACAGTAATTGTATAACGTAGCGTCGCGCATGTAGAATCACTTCTGCGAACAGGACAATGATTCCCTCACTCTCATGTGCCTTATTGATGAATTGCGTGCGACAAGACACGCATGTACATGCGAGTTGCTGCCTGTTACCGCTTCTGTGCGATAGCCATTTCTCAGCTCTCGTTTGCTCAAACTGATTGCGGTTCCAGCAAAGAATACCAACTCGATGTCGGCTATCCTTGCAGGGTAAGCAATTAGCACCGACCGACTGAGTCAATGGTTTGAGCTTCACACATGCAAAGTTGTCCCTCAAGGCAAAAGCCGTCCGGTCACATTCCGCCTGCGCTGATCCAACGGGTTCCGAACGTCAAAAGCGGTCCGTCGATAGTGTTCTTGTCGACGTCTCCACAACTCACGCACTCGATCCGTTGCAGCTTCTTCACTCCCTCGTTAGCCAACGAACGACGTAGTGCAACGTCTCAGCTTGGATGGAATAAACTGCTGAGCCACCACACGCTTTGACTGCAACCCACAAGAATCGCGTCAACACAAAGCCAACGGTGCCGACTGGAGATGTCCGTTAGTGGTGTCGATCCAAGACGCAACCGTACAGCAACGCGCGTGTCCTTTCGAACAAGAGATGTGGCAATGCGCCGTGAAGGGACTACACAGTCGTGCAAACAGTACACTGCTTTTGAATATCAACGTCGCGTGCAGGTTCGCTATAAATGATGTCCAGACGTACTACAGCAGACACTCGAACCATTTCACGGGCATCTTTGCCTTGTTCAGCAATCCGTCGCCGCTTTTGAACTGCATGTCCCAGTGGTTTAGCTTTGACCGATAGAAGCGACTCCTGTAGTCGCTCTCGAACTTGCCCTCGTCCAACCCGCTTGTGCAGCTCGCATACTCGACCATGCCGTCATTTTGTTTGGATTTGTGCGGAACGATTTCGCTGAGCAACCAGAATCTTGCTTGGTAGGTGGACAAGAGGCCCGAGCTGCTGCTGCTGCACATGGCAGCTGACACGTGCTTCCGATACGCCTTTTGAGCGGATTTGTAAGCTCTGTTGAGGTGCGAGAAGCTGCGAGTGCCGTTCTCGTACGCCACGGACTTCGTAGCAATGTTCACTGGACACTGCTGTCGAATGTCAGCGACCTTTTCCATCAAGGCATTGGATTTTCCATCGCACACGTCTTGGGCAAAGTCCGAGCCCATGCTTCCTGACATGGGCGTTGCCATGCTCACCCAAGTTGAGCTCGAGCTGAGCTCACACATGCCGCCAGCAATAGCGGCACCTACGAGCAAGCTTCCCATCGAATGAGTCACAATGATCGTGTCGCTGATAGTGAAGTTCGTGCTGCTGTTGCTCACGGTGAGCGCGCGGTCGCACACCGCCTGCTGTTGAGCAGCTTTTACCCACGAGTTGTTGACCGTATTCAGATGGGCGTATTTGATCGACGAGCAGCACGGGGCGTGGTCCGAGATCGGTCCCCAGTAGTGCAACGAGTCCACGTTCACCGGCGACCCCATGGCCACGCCGAGTCCATGGAAGAAAATGCACGGACGTCGCTTTGACTTGCACGTGCACGACGCTTCATTGTTGAACGGGAACGACACCGCAGGTCTCAATTTCCTCGTATCGGCAGATCCCGTCGTTCCAGTGAGCAGTGACTTGCCAAGCGGTGTCACAGCGCTCCAGGACACTTCAGCTTCGCACTGTCGTCGTCGTCGTCGTCGTCAAGTGCCACGACTGGAGCCACAACTCGCACGCGCGTGTCGAGGTACTCCACTTCAATGTCCATGTCGCTTCCGTACATCTTGAAGCCCTCGTGTTCCGAAGCGCACAGCGCAAAGTCAAAGCCGTCCACCGACACTTTGTAGATGCTGTCTCCTTCGCAATCGATAGTGCTCCCAATGCTCCCCGAGAGCTCTGCCACCGGCACCGCTTCGTTCAGTGCGTCCAGAATTGAGGCGATGGGGGGAAAGTCGACAAAGTCCGACTGGACGCACCGTACGGATCTGGGAAACGAGCGAGCGACCAGCGGATCGCTCTGCAGGTAAGCGACTCCGTTCACAAGTGTGTAGTTGTACGCCGTCTTGTCGTCGTGGACCGTTGCGTACACGTCAAACATGACGCGGGAGCGAGCAGTCGACACGATGGGAGTGGCGTACATCGTGAACTTGGAATGGCCGTAGAGGCTCATGGAGCTGCGTTTGACTGTGAAGTGCAAGAGCAGCGACGGCCAGTCGGACGTCCCCCGCGCGCTATGTCCTTCCCGCGTCTGCGCCTTCCGAGCGGCCGTGTGAGTAGTCGCTTCCACGCGCAGTGTCCGCTTGTCCTGCAGAAACGCCACGCAGACGCCCAACACGAGCAACAGCAGTGACCACATGTTGACGCCGCGCGACGCGTTGGGTTGAAATGGGAAAGTAAGTGAGCGCACGTAACGCGAAGGCGCACACTATTGAGGGACATAGCATCGGGCAGGCAGCAAACACACACGCGGTCTTGACCACCTGCAAGTGAAGAGGAGCTGATACCTGTCCCGATCTCACGAACAGCTGCTGGATATGTCAAGTGGGTCAGAGCCGCGACATGTCGGGAACGTATTGGCGGAGAAAGACCCACTTCGGTTCATGCGCTGCGTGAGCTGACAGTGGCTGTGTGTGTGTGGGCTCTTGTGCTGCCACTCGCCGTTCCGACGGCTGCGAACTTCTGTGGCTTGCAGCTCCTCTCGTCGAAAGAGCCCGTGGCGAACAGGACACACGCACGCACACACTTCAAGGGAGAGAGCGACCTGTGAAGGTGGGGAGAAGACGAGGAGACGGCTTTTTCTTGAGAAGTTCTGGTGATTGGCACGCGTCCGCATCTCCGGATCGCACCCATTTGATGAGTCGACTCGACGCCGAGCAGTTCAATAGCTCTGCCGCACTGCGTCGAGCTCACGTTCCACGCAAAACCGCACGCGGCTTCACACGAACAGTCGCAGCTTTCAACACGAGTCCCAACGCGTCGAACGGACCGATCGCATGGCTACGGCTTTGGTTGCCGTACGTGGCCACTGTCAGCACAAACAGCTCCACTTCCACAGACTGCTCGCCCACTTCTTGATGATCGTGGCGCTTACAAGCACACGACAGGCCGTCACGGCTCTGCCACAGCCGTTTCGCAAGAAGTCTCCCACGATTAGATCCAAAACACTGGTCGGCGGAATAGAGTCACTGCGACAAGTGGGGCGGGGGGGGGGGCGTCATCGCTTCGATTGACTCTATCGGTGCTCGTTTAGAAACGTCTGTAAACGTGGGCCCTCGATAGACGGATTGCAATTCTAGAACATGGATCCCACGATGCGCAGCACAAGAGTGGCATGACGTGGCAGTCCTCGCGACGACAGTTGGTGCGTTTGACATACACAGGATAGTGGCGGATAGTCAGGCTATTGTCGAATGCGGCAGCGACTTATCGGGTGGCAAGTGGGGATTCTCTTTCTTTTGTGGGGCATGACGAGACGCTTCGACTGTGTTCAATACCTACGGAGAATGGCAAATGATCACGCTAAGCGTTTCGTTCGTGACTGCTGATCAAGTTGTCTAGGCACAATGCGTGTGGTCGGTTGGCAAGACACCGGCGTCGCGTGTTGGTTAGCAATGCGCCTGCACTTCTCCTACAAACAAACGAACAAATACTATCACTGTTGGCCGACCACTGAACAAAGCGCGACTCCTTTCTGACGAGATGTCGACATCTCCATTCATATGCGTTGCACGTTTCGTTCGTGCAGACAATCTCCCGTTTCAAGATCATCTTTCACGCTGAGTTCCAGTGTTGTAGAGTGGGTATGAGACGTACTCGAATTGGGGTCTCCCCCTTGTCACTTGATGCATGCGAGCGTTACCAGGTATTGCCATGAACATGGACGGACGTCTTGCAGCTGCACTGCAATCACGGTGTAGTCGCATATCTAGTTCTCAGTCAGCTGCCCCCGTTAAACGTCATTGCAAAGTTTGCGGCGAAAGTATCGTCGGTCCTCCATTATGTTCAAATGCTTTTCTAGGTCACGTCCTTCTTCCAGAAGTCGTAAAGCGCACGCAATTACAATTTCCAGTCATACAAACGTCGCTGATCACTATGTAGCGATCACATATGATCACTTGAAGCAGATCGGACACGACCTCGGATACACACTTGCTCTTCCGCATGATAGATGACCACAACGAGGAGGGCGATAGCGAAGCTTGGCAAGGATGCGACGAGTCTGATATTCAAGCCCAAAGCGCAAAGCGCGGAGCAGAACGAGCTACACTACGCTGCGTGAGCCACGATTCTTCAGCAAGCGTGGAACCATCTCAACGTGCCCACAGACTATCACGGCTGGCCGAATGATCGAGCCGCACGCTAGCAACTGGACCTGTACTTTCTAAGGCACAGGACGGGCTCGAGCTGTACAGCTCAAAACCTGTTCGGGTCACAAAGAGACTCTCAGGTTTTCGTCCTGGGCATGTCCACGTGTCAAAGGCTTCTGGCGAGTTTTACTAACGACTTCGTCAATTGACACACGGACTGCTCCGACGCGTATGCCCACGCAAATGATTGTCTGGTCGAAACACCATCACAGCTGTCAACAACACCCCTTCGTCCAGCAACTCTTTCGAACGTTTTTGCGGCCCATGTACCGGATCCCTAAGCCGAATGGACGAGATTGTGGCGGGCACTCACTCTGCTCAATATGCACGAGAAGCAGGTGTACAGCCAAGTGTATGAGTACAACGAAAGTGGAACATCAGCTGTAGGTAAGTAAGACGATGGACTGCGCAAGCGATCGACGAAGCTTCTTCGTCAACAGCTGTTTGCTCCGAGTCAAACTTTGACATCTGCGTACCGCCAGACGACAAACACATTTTTCACAAAAGCGGGTCATGTTTGTGATTCCTCCTATGGCTCTTTAGTGCGACACACAAATCGATGTAAACTATCATTGTGCTGGCAGTGAGCGCCAAGTGCGACCAAAGTTCGCACTCTTCAGGAGGTTCAAAACAAACTTATGGAAAGCGGACGCGGCGTCTCTGCGACGAATCTGCACGTGCTGGACCGGCCACTGAGCCGCGGGAAGAGCGAAGTGAGTATAACTGACGTCAGTGCACTTCATCACAGCAGGTCACGACCAACTCCTCTCGTCCCATGGCGTTCCGATCACGGATTCGATCTCGTTACGCTCGCAACAGTCCATTGAGGATACCAATGATCGCGAAATCGTGTAATTACTTACGCATATCTCTGCTTGCACAGGTCAGTCTCAGCGTCTTTTCCTTCCTCTTCTCCGAGATGGTCCAGTACTTCCAGGGCCGCGTGCAGAACATCTCGGACCTCGAGAACCGGTGCGACTCGAAAGCCGTTGATTCGAGCATGCGCTCTCGTTGATCCACTCACGAGTTATGCATCCGTTCGATGCGTGCCTCTTTGCTGCTGTCTCTCTCTTGCAGTCTTGATGTTGCCGGATTCGGCGTCGGGGTGCGCGTTCTCGAGATCTTGAGTCACCGCGAAAAGCCCGGACGGCGGGAAGTCCGGTTACTGGCCATGCTGCAGTTCATCGTGTCGAGCTGCTGGAAAGCGCTGTTTGGCAAAGCTGCGGACGCACTGGAGCGCAGTACGGAGAACGAAAACGAGTACATGATCCACGAGCTCGAGCCGCTCACGAACAAGTTCGTGTCGGTGCCGCCTGACCTCGGGCAGCTCGACTGTGCTGCGTACATCGCGGGCATCGTGCGTGGTATTCTGTGCAGCAGTGGCTTTTTGGCAGACGTGACGGCGCACACGGTCGAAGTTCCTGGTGGTCAGCGGAACAAAACAGTGTTTCTGGTCAAGTTCGATGAAAGCGTAATCCAGCGCGAGCGCGCATTGACGTAGCTCGCTACAGCGCGAGTAGCGAGAAGGTGAGTGATGAAATGGTGTTAAATAGACCACGCGGTCTTGCTTGTTCAAAAGGTTGGCGCCACACGCACTCACGGATGAGTGAGCATTGACTCGTCTACGACATACGTACGTCGTCCGCTGTGCTAGTAGCAGCTTGCGAGGGCGGCTGTCCCCACGTCGCGTAGTCTGCGCGTTCGCTGGCCTTGTACTCGTCCACCAGGTTCTGCACGACCTCGCGTGCGCTATCAAACTCGTCCAAGTTCTCCGCAAACATGGGTTCCTTCCGGTAATTCTCAATGAAAGCGCCGTGTTTTTTCAATCGGTCGTATTGGAGCAGCAACTTGTGGAAAAGTGCCCCAATGCTCGTGTGGTTGGCCAGCATGAGACCATTGACCTTGTGCGCCGTTTCCATGTACGGCGACTTGCGTGATAGCGCCACTTGGATCGATGCCGGTCCCCACGGAATGAATCGCACCAGCTTCCGTTCACGAATGCGCTGCAATGACTTGTGCACTTGTGTAGGGTCCACGTCGCCCTGGATGATGTTCAAAATGGAGATGTAGCACCCCGTCTTTGTCGACGTGCTCACCATGATATTTTTCGGTTGCAAGAGGCGTCGCATGACGTCCAGCACTGTCGTCTTCCTCACTGCAGAGACCTGTGCGTCGATCGTCAACGGAGTGTACCCCGTCATCAAGAAATGACAGCGTGGAGTGGGAATCAACGATGCCACAAGTCCAATGAGGTCGTTGTTCATGTAGCCGGGATACCGCAAAGTCGTGGTACTCGCTGCCATGACGGTCGACACGAGAGAGTTCAGTTGAGACACTGTCGGGTTCTCGACTCTCAGCCTCTCCACGGCAATCCGGTTCAGCGCCGTGTTGTCCAGCACCACGACCGAGTCGGCATTCAGCACCAGTCTCTTCATCGTCAGCAGTGAGTTGTATGGCTGCACCACGACGTCGCTCTGAAAGTCCGACTGATTCGGAAACACCGAGTACGTCTGAATCAGTTTCTTGGGAAAGTGGTCGTTCAAGTTTTCCAGCAAGTACGACCCCATTCCCGAGCCCGTTCCGCCAGCAATGGAGTGGCACAAGACGAACCCTTCGAGACTGTCGGATCCGTCAGCTTCTCGGTCAATCATCTCCATCAGCTGGTCGTGATGACTCTCGCCTTGATGGTAGCCGGACGCCCAATTGTTCCCTGCCCCACCTCCTTCTTTCGATACGAAAAAGTTCTCGGGATTGTATAAGTTCTTGAAGGCAGAAGTACTGATACTGTTGATCACACGCGGCTCGAGGTCCATGAGCAGCGCGCGCGGAATGTAGTGCTCGTCGTCCGCCTGGTAGAAGAACACGTCCTTGCGGTCGTGGCCCGACGTGGCAAAGTCCTGCACGATGCCGTCGGCGGAGATGCCGTGCTCCACGCACAGCTGTTTCCAGAACTCCATGCCGATCTGGTTGCCGCATTGGCCCGCCTGCAGCGTGATGATCTCGCGCGGCATGAGGTCGGGCGTTTGTGACGACGGCTGGAACTGTTGGTGTTGCTGGTATTGTAATTATTGTCGATACGGTTGTTGTACTTGTCGTGGTTGATCGGGTGGATGGCAGTATATACCGGTAAACTAGTCTCGACCGCCGCGGCTACTTCAGGTGGGCCACGCTGTGGAGCGATCGATCGATCGATCGATCATTGGTGTTTGTGGCGTTGTGTGGTGTTTGTGGCGTTGTGTGGTATTTGTGGCAGATGGTGGTCCGACCGTTGTGGTTGTTGGCTGCATGTTTTCGCCACGGACTGGTGTCAAAACAAACGCGACTTCGTCCTTGGCGTTTCTCGTGCCGTCGTCCAGACTGTCCATTGGTCGCTCTCAAACCCAACTGCTGTCCGTAATGACTTCTTCGTTCCCCGCTGATCGTGATGGTCCCCATCCCTCCTCAACTCGATACCCTCCGATCATCATGGAAGTCGTGGCCGACCCCATCGACAGGTGCAGTCTACAAATCGAGATATCCCACCAACTCCTGACCCGACCCAACCCGACGCGACGCGACCACTGCCATGTCCGCCGCTCGGTCGACTGCCACTGCGGTGAAGAAGAAAGCGCCCACTGCCATCGCCATGTTCAACATGGGCGGCCCGTCCACGCTGTCCGAGGTGCAGAGCTTCCTGACCAACTTGTTCACGGACCCCGAACTGATCCCCATGGGCCCCGTGCAAAGCGTCGTCGGTCCGTATGTGGCCAAGCGCCGCACGCCTCAGATCGTGGACCAGTACTCGCAGATCGGAGGCGGCTCTCCCATCCTCAAGTGGACGAACCTGCAGGGCGAACACATGTGCAAAATCCTGGACAACGTCCGACCACAAGTAGGTACAACCAGTGCGTTAAAAGCGCTGGACGAGCTCGAGGGGCTAATGTGTGGTCATGACTCGTGTGTGCACTGCTGTAGAGCGCACCGCACAAGCACTACGTCTTCTTCCGCTACGCAGACCCGTCGACGGAGCAGTCCCTGAAGCAGATGAAGGAGGACGGCGTCACGCGCGCCGTGGCCTTCTCGCAGTACCCGCAATGGTCGTGCACGACGTCGGGTTCGAGCATGAACCACCTGTGGCGCGAGCTGGACCGGCTCGACATGAAGGAGGACTTCCAGTGGTCGCTCATTGATCGCTGGAACACGCACCCGGGCTACATCTCGGCTGTGGTGAACAGGGTGAAGATGGGACTGGAGCAGTACGCGCCAGAAGACCGAGACAAGGTCATTATCATGTTTTCCGCGCACTCGGTGCCGATGAAGACGGTGTACAAGGGCGACGCGTATGTGAACGAGATTGCCGCGACGGCCGATCGGGTGATGAAGCAGTTGGCGGGGAAGAACCCGCACATTCTCAGCTGGCAGTCGAAAGTCGGCTACTTGCCATGGATGGGGCCAAGCACGAGCGACGTGATCAAGTTCTACGGGAAACAGGGACACAAGTAAGTCGGATCGGTCGAGTGGCACTGCATGTGTACTGGTTTGTGTAGCCACTGACGCCGCTTTCTTCCGTGTTGCACAGGCATGTCATGGCCGTGCCTATTGCTTTCACGTCGGACCACGTTGAGACACTCTACGAGATCGACATTGAGTACGCCGAGGAGGCCAAGGAAGCTGGTATCGCGGTGCGTAGATGGGTTGCTCCAGCTAAGACTGCAGCCAGGGTGTTCCTCTTGACTCACGTTTTTTCTCTCTCTGTTTGCAGCACTTCAAGCGGTGTCCGTCGCTGAATGACGAGCCTCTGCTGTTCGAGGCTCAGGCCGATATCGTGAAGCAACACTTGGACTCAAACGAACTGCACTCGCCCACGTACCCGCTCAACTGCGCACGTTGCACGAACCCAATGTGCCGTAGCATCCTGAACCCCATCAAGCCGTACCACAAGCTTTTGTAAAGCAGGTCAGCGAGAACGAGGCAGCTGTATGTGTATCACAACAACCCGAGAGCTTTGAGATACAGTGGCGTCATAGAACACCGTGAAGCGTCTCTGCCGTCCACTCATTTTTGTCCGTTTTTGCCTTAGAGAGTCGAAGACAATGCTGTCATCGCGTGCACGTCTGCAAGCGCGACAAGGTCAGGACGCGCCACCGCGTCACGAGTACTTGCAGCAGCTCGTCAACGAGTTCCAGCGCTCTCCTGACGTTCTTCGGCAAGAAGAGGTCGTGGCCCATCTGGCCAACTTTGCCTACGACCCCATCAACTACACGTCCTTCTGTGCTCTGCGCATCATGGACCTGTTCCTCGACATCCTCGCCGTCGCCAGCCCCGGCGGATCCACCGACGTCAATGAGACCCACAACGACGACAGCGACGTCTGTGGGTCTGCCCGAAAAGGTCCGTCCACAACGACGTCCCCACGTCAGCTTGTGCAGAAGCGCTCGCTGGTGGAATTCGCACTGGGCGGTATCTGCAACTGCATCTCCGACCCGCAGCTCCAACAGCAGTTCATTGACGGAGACGGCGTGGAGCTCCTCGTGCCGTTTGTGTTGGACATACCGCCGAGAGACGACGACGCGACGCCGTTCACCCGCTCGGAGCTCAACGTCGTCGTCTCGTCGTTAACGATCGCGTATTTCCTACTGGACTCGCGTGCGTTTGCCGCGATCACGTCCGACCCAATAGTGGCCAAAATGCGCCAACTGCAGCAACAGCAGTGGCCACGACAGTCCGTCGTCGTCGTCGCTCAGATTTCCAATACTGCCGCAGCGTTTCTCGCTCGGTACAAAGAGCTCCTCGCGGTCTGAACAGGTCGTCTGGTGATCGTACTTACCACATCGCTACCAATTCACTCGGTCCGAAAACGAACATCATCCGCTCACTGCGCGAAAAGAGCGTCGCAATGCTCTTTGACCTCAACGACGAGGAGCTCCAGACGCGCCTCGAGGCGCTCAAGCACCTCTTACTGGGCGCCAATGTCCTCCTGTTCGTCGCTGCAGCGCTCGTGTTCGTCGTCCCGTTCCAGCGCGAACCAAATGAGTCTTCCGCGCCGACCAAACGGGCGCTGCTCGTCACGGCCCATCCCGACGACGAGAGTATGTTCTTTTTGCCTCTCGTGCACTCGCTCCAGCTCAGATCCAGCGCTGGCCGCGACAAGTGGGAGACCCACTTGCTGTGTCTCTCCCGGGGAAACTTTGATGGCTTAGGGGCCGTCCGAGAGCAGGAACTTCGCGCGTGTGCCGGCCACATTGGACTGGCAACTCCCCATGTCCACGTGCTGGAGGAGCCCGAGCTTCAAGACGGTATGCAGAACCACTGGGACACGTCGCGGATTGCAGCGATTGTGCTGGACTACGTGGACAAGCACCGCATCGATGCGGTTCGTAGAGCGCTGCGGCTGTTGTTGCTGGCTGGATGCTAGATGGGAGGATGGCAGATGGAGCGGCAACTGACTGACGCTGCGTGTGTCTTGCGTTGGCGATCGCAGGTCTTTACATTCGATGGCTACGGCGTCTCGGGGCATCCAAACCACATTGCGACCCATTGCGGAGTCAAACAGGCTCTGCGTGAACAATCGGAGAAATGCAGCGCTGCTACTACGCCGAACGCCGGTGCGGAAAAGGTCGTTCGCGGGTGGGCTCTGGAGAGCACGAATATCGTGCGCAAGTACATTGGGATACTGGATGCCGTGCCGTCATTATGGTTGACGCGTCAGACAGAGGACGCACAGCAGGATCGGCAATTCGTCTTTGTTTTCAGGCCATGGTGGAACTACAATGCCATGGCACTGCACCAGAGTCAGTTTGTGTGGTACCGCCGCCTGTTTGTAGTCTTCTCGCGCTACACGTTCGTCAATACCTTCCGCCCACTGCTAGAGGTCGACGTAACGGATCGTCCATTAGCGCATAAGAAGACACAGTAGAGACGTCGTCATTCCACAACCAGACACATGCTTGCAACGAGCTCTGTTGCAGCAAAATCGTTCGTTGACATTACAGAATCATTCGCATCAGTTGTCGTCGGTCGCCTTTAGCTTGAGTCTGTCTGTCAGGCGCATACACAACAACACTATAAGACCAGGGTCGTTTGCAATACACAACAGCTCGACGTACGCATGACTGTAGCAGCGCGTCGTCGAACGTCTGGTGGATCCTGCAACAGCTCTGTCAAATTAGCCGCAACGCCAAGCAACGCTTTCGGTTCCGAGTTAGCTGTCTCCGATTGCTTTCGAAGAGCACACTGCCCACTACGTAGTCGTGCAAGCGTCACGCGAACGTGCGATCCACACACCAGCACCAACTTGACTTCCTCCTTCGAAAGAGCCGACACGAATCCTTGAAAGTCCTCCTCCGTCAACTTTGACAACAACACCACTGGATCGCCCACACAAAACGTCTCGTCCATCACGGCACCATTCTCGCCAACACGTCCTCGACACATCAACTTCTCTCCAACCTCATCAACGACCACGTCCACCTCTTGCTCCGCCTCTTCCTCTTGCCCCATCTTGACCCCTTCGTCTCGTTCTCGATTCCTCTGCAACTTCGCACACTCGTGTACCACATCGTCCACAATCCGTTTCGGAGTCGGCAAGATACCTCGCGACAAGTGTCGAAAATTGAACCTCGTCCTCATCCGCTGTCGTGCACGCCGCAGCTGTTTTTCCAGCAGCTCAGGCTCCAATTTGGTCAGCCGCGTGTCGACGCGATCCGAATGCGTCACGTTCACTGCCTTCACGTTGCTCGTGTCAACAATGCCGTCCTGCAACATCTGCCGCCGCTGTCCAATTCGCCGGCGACGCTGTTGGGTGCGCTCGAGCAGCTCCAGTTTCAGTTGCTGCTCGTCCGACCGCAGCACGTCGTTTGCTTGCTGCACGTCGAACTCAAAGAGACTGGACGCGTCTTGCAGCGAGAAGTGGTACTGGTGCTGCGCCACTTGCAGCTCGCGCTCGCGATCCGCCTCGAAGGGCTGGCAGCGCCGGACAAAGTCCTCCAGCGTCCCGGCTTTCAGCTCCTCCTGCTGCTTCCGCACGCGGTCGATACTCTCCTGGTAGATCTGGCGCTCCAGCTCGAGCAGCTCGCGCACGTTCAGCTCGCGCCGCTTCGTCATGACGCGAAATCTACGGCACCTGAGGCCGTCGACGCGCGATCGAAACAGTCGTTTTGACACACGAAAAGCGACGGGCTGTGTTTGGTCAAAATCAATGTTGACGAGACGTTGGCGCGTTCGATGTGTCAAAATCAGCTTTCGGTCGCTATTGTCAATGTTTGATGAACGCGCTGGGAATATTCGGTCAAGATCCGCCCCTGCGAGCGCTATGGTGACTATTCCATTGAACAGGCACTTGGCATACGTTCAGTTCCACGCGCGATGCAGCTCCCCGTTCGGTCGACGCTTCTTCTGCCTGTGGCTCTGCTGCTGCTCCAGTGGTGCGAGTCCCGCGCCTCGTCGGTGACTGCAGGCGCGCCGGATCACTTGGTCACCACGGGCGGCGAGTGCGTCCGTTTGTTCCACACACGAGGAAGTATCGGCTGCCGCAGTCTCTCGAGTACCGACATGGCGACCCTGTACCCAATTACGAGCTCGAAAGACCTGCAGAACTTTATCGCAGGAAAATCGCACTTGGTGGATACCGACGACAAGTACGTGCTCGTGATGGCCGAATCGCTCGCGGAGTACGACGTGCTTTCGCCCGGTTTCGACCGCATTGGCGGTCTCTTTATCTTTCCCGATGCCGGCGATACGAACGCGTCGTTTGACGCGAGAGCCCCCCAAGGAGACGGCACGATCGACGGAGTGCTGAACCCGTTTGCAGGTGACAAGACCAAGTGGAACCCGACGGGCAACGCGCTGTTGACAAAGCTTTTGCCGTTTCCCGTCGTGATGCTGCAGAACGCCACAGTCGGCGCGGAGTTCACGAAACGCGCCCAGAAGAACGTGGACAATGGCTCTGGCGCGACGTATAGGGCGTTCATGAACTACTACTTCGGACCGGCAGACATGGACTCGATCAAGTGCCTCACGTTCACCAATTTATACGGAAACCGCAGTCCCCGGTGCGACCCGATTGGAGGACAGAGTTCGTGGGCCATGAGGGGCAACTTGAAGTCGGACGAGATCGTCATGGCCATGGCTGGAATGGATGCGACGTCGTTGTCGCATGTGCTGGCACCGGGGGCCAACACGGCAGCGTCTGGACTTGTGGCACTGCTTGCAGCAGCTCATGCGCTCAAGGGAGTGCCGGATTCGGCCTTCGATAAAAAGGTGGTGTTTGCAGCGTTTCAGGCCGAGAAGTATGGTTTTGTCGGGTCGAGGAAGTTCCTGTCGGACCTGCACCGATTCACGAAGGACCCGGAAGGAGCTTGTGCGTTCGCCGTCGATGACTCCGTGTCGCCCATGGGCAAGAGCTTTTGCACGTCGCCGATGCTAAGTAGCACAGAGTTTGCTAAGTTGCAGCTCGCTAACATCTCGTACGTGATTGCAGTTGACCAGGTGGGCATTCTGCCGAAGTCTGGCAACTTTACGGTGCACGTGAATCCCAACGCGAACGATTCCAGTAATCTCGTGGACGCGATTATGCGCGCACCGTCAGCTGCCTCTGCTGTCACTGAGGGCAGCACAGGCTCTCTCCCCCCGACGCCGTTGACCTCATTCGTGAATGGCGGTGAGTACGGTAAGCGTGATCTAGTAGGCGCGGTGCTAGCTGGATATGACGGCACGTTCTCTTCGAAGAGGACGTACAACAGTCGTCACGACGAGTTTACGCTCCTGGACGTGGATGCAGTTGCAAAGGCTGCGCAGGTGCTAGCAGAGAGCGTGTTTATCCTCGCTTCTAGTAATGCCACAACTGCAGAGATGGACAAGATCGCAGTGGATACGTCGCTGGTCAGGTCAATGTTGTTGTGCATCACGACGGACTGGAACTGCGACCTCATGAACGACTACTCCCAGTACATGAAGTCGACGCTGATTGAGTATCTGAGCCTGTCAGACTCGGCGTCTCCAGCTTACTCCGTGCCGACCACTTTGTACCCCGGTCCGATCGACGTCGACGGCTCGATGCTTGTTCTCAAACGTAGTGACGAGTCGATGCATTCGCTGTTCAACGAGTCGTGGTCCGACGCCGACTACACGGTGCGCCTCTTCCCGAACGCTTACGAGTTCTTCACTCGCGCGTTTCTGGCCTCTGCGATGGTACCGAATGCTACTGCTGCTGCTGCTGCCTCGTGCTCACAAAGTCAAGGTTGTCACAACGGTGGAAAGGGAATGGAGTGCGTTCACCCGGGAATTTGCGCTACGAAGAGTGCGTTCCATCACGAAGCCAGCTCCCCAGCGATCAAGCGAACTACGGCAGTGCTGCATTACGACATTGTTAACTCGTCGATGCCGATTTGGACCGAGCCTCAGTGGGCTTCTGACATTGGAAGCTACTCGTTCCCGGACCCTGGCGCTGTCGTTGGGTGGGTGGCATTGGCCGTCGGCGTGGTGGTGACATGCCTGGGCGTCGGGGCTTCCTTCATGGTGCTGAAGAGCGTGCAGAAGCTCAAGCTCATGTGAGCTACAGACGCGGCGTACTTTACCTTTCGCTTTTTGCATGTCACGAGTCGCCGGAGAATGAATACGCAACATCACCGAAAAGTGTAGTCACGAACAGTGCTACCGACTTATAGGAACTCGCTTTTCACCTCAATGCACAGAATCGCCTTCGCATTCGGATGTCTGATCGCCATCCAAACACTCACCTCCTCAGCATTACGAACGCTTGATTCCTCTCCAGTCACATAGGCGGCCCTA